CATGAACTTGCTTATAATGTGCACATTTTAGGAGTTTTTAGTATGTTCACGAGGTTGTACAATGAGCACCATAATGAAGTTTGGAACACTCTGCCAACCCCCAAAACAGCCCTGTACCTATTAGCAGCCGCACCCCACTTTGCCCAAGCCCCTCTCCATGCTCCCGCCATTCTCTGGCCCTGCACACCTGCCCATTCCGGACACTTTAGAGAGACGCAGACAACACGTGGCCTCTCGTGACCAGTTTCTCTAGCGCACTGCTGTCAAGGGGCAGAATTCTTTAAAATGAGGAAACTGAGACACAGAGAGGTTAGACCAGAGGTCACAAACTCAAGTGCTTACAGGGGCTGAGCAGGAGATGAGAATGAGAAGGCCAGGGTGGAAAGACAGGCTGTGGGAACTTGCCAACACAGAGAGCAAAATGGGGAGCTGTGTCCTGGCCTGACAGTGGGAGAGGAGGCCCCTGAGTCCCCTGACCTGCTGCCAGAGCCACACCTTGCCATTCCCTCAGAGAAGCCAGAAACTGAGTTTCACTGTGACAAGTCTTAATTTCAAACACCTGTGATCCAGGCCAAACCCAACGATGTGCTCGCAGGACACAGTCCCCAGGCCTATCTGTCATCTGCACATCCCGCCATTTGCTGAGGGTCCCAGGGCTAATAAAAGCAGAGCTGACTGGAATGTGGACCCTTCTTCCAAAAATTGCATCATGCTGCTTGGTCATAAATGGTGTCCATGCCGCCCCACAGAGGTGTAGGCTCAGAAGAGCCAGGTCAGACTCCAGCGGGTCAAACCTTCCCCTGTCACAGAACTCTGGGGACACCAATTTCCCACCTCAGCAGGCCAGAGCAAATGGTTCAGGAATTTGGTTCTGACCCCATAAACCTTTCCTTGGGTTTCAATGTTCTTGGGGCACCAGAGAACATCAGGGCCTGGGCACCAGTATTTGCTAACTCTGGAATTCCAAGTTCTGGGATGCTAGTGACTTGGCACTGGGCTCATCACTGGCTACCATGAAGGAAGGCTTCTCTTCCAGCCTGTAGACATAGAGGGCCCACCCCCACCCCAGAGCAGGGTCTTGCCACCACAGCAAAATTGCCTAAGGATGAGGGTGCCTACTGGCACAGAGGCTACAGTTCCCCCATCGGACGCCCCCAGAGAGGAAACCTACAATGTTATATCCACAACTATACCCCTGAGGCTGAAAGCCACGAAACCTGAGAGATTCTAAAAGCTCAGCTGAAGTAAGCGCCTTATCCTTTGGAAAACTGTGCAGGCAAACTGCCCTGGCTGTGGGGGGAAGCGCCCCACAAGTCTCTGGTGTCCTGGGCCCCTCAGCTGAGTCCAGCATCCACCTCTGCAAGGCAGTGTCTGAGAGGATGGCCTCAGGGGAGGCCCTTCCCCTGATTCACTGGAACACCAGAGGCAGTCACCAGAGCAGATGACTCTGGAAAACCAACGTGGCAGTGAAACAACCACGAGGATGTTCAAGAGTGAAACTTCTTTTATTAAATAACGTATGTCTGTCCCCTTCTGGTAGAGAAACCACTCACCTGGAAAGCCCTTTGAGATGGGTGAAAATGGCTTTTGTACCCAGCTGGGAAACTTGGGGGATTACTCAAGGACCCTGTTCTTCACCTGGGAAATGAGACAACGCCACCTGGCCGATTGGGCAGTTAAGCAAAAGGAACAAGATGAGGGGTGCACAGTGGCTAACAAAGGGAAGCTGCTCTACCCTCCCGCCCCAAATCTGGCAGATGGTGCCTTACATATGATCACTTTATTTTTTAATAATTACTATTATGGACTGAATTGTGTCCCACTAGCCTTACAAATTCATAGCTGAAGTCCTAATCACCACTGTAATGAGAACTGAAGATATGGTTAGTTTAGTAATCTAAGGGTAAATGGGGTTATAATGGCCTGGATCCAGCAGAATGTGTCCTTATAAAGGAAAATGCAAGTCAAAACCACAATGAGATACCATCTCACATCAGTGAGAATAGCACATATTGAAAAACTAGCCACAACAAATGTTGGCGAGGATGTGGTGAGAGAGGAACTCTCCTGCACTGCTGGTGGGAATGCAAACTGGTACAAACGTCATGGAAAGCTGTTTCTCAAACTTCTATAAATGGAGCTTCCACTCCTAGGCATCTACCCAAAGGACACAAACACATTAATTCAAAAGGTCACCTGCGAGTTAAAGCACTGCCCTAAGAAGCTAAAGTCATTTCCGCATGAGTTCAATCCCCGCCTGCCCAAGAGGTGACCACATGGCGCGGCAGACCTCTCAAAAGGTCACCTGCATCCCTGTGTTTATTGCCACACTATTTTCAATAGCCGAGATATGGAAACAACCCAAATGTTCAAAAATAGATAGCTAGATCAAGAAGAATCAAAAATATATACTCATGCCATTTGCAGCAACACGGATGGAGCTGAAGGGATCAGGCTTAGTGAAATAAGCCAAAAAGAAAAATAAAAATACTGGATGGTTTCACTCATAGCAAGCGTATAAGAGATTGGGGGGGGGGAAGCAATTGTAATAAAGTAAAAATGAAAATCAACAAACAACTATAAACTAGAGACATTCTACAGGGGTGGAGAGAGGAACGGAATCAAAACTGGGGCGGGAAGAGCACTCGGGTCTATGATGGTGGCACATGGTGAATGGGTGAGAAAAGTCCATGGGAATTGCAACTGAGGTGAAAAAATGTCCAAAATGAAAAATGGCGTTAAATATATATATGTGTGTGTGTGTGTATAAATATATAGATAGATAAAGTAAAAAATAAGGATTTGGTGTTTTTTTTTTTTTTTTTAAAAGAAAGAACATGACCTTATAAAAAAAGACACCAGAAACTTCTCTGGTGAAACACAGATAAGTCTGTCCCTCTACAATTTGTGAAATATATATTCTGAGGGCCATATCAAATTGGGCACTCCTTATTTGTAATATGGCTAAAGCAGGCTAGAAACTCTAAGGTCTTCTATGTCAGTGCTTCTCAAACCATAAACGGCAAAGGAATCACCCAGGAAGCAAATGGGAATGCAGATCCTGACCCACAGGTCTGGGGGTGCCCAAAAGTCTCGTTCTAACAAGCTCCCAAATGATCCTGAGGCTGCTGGTTCACACACCACAATTCTGGGTAGCCAAGTCCTTAGAATGGGCTGTTATCTGCCCACTTGAAATGTATGATCCTCCAGACACCAGCTGCCAAATGCTGCCAGGCACTATAAGTGCTAAGTATAAATAAGACAGAGTCTCTGCTCGCAGAGAGATTACAGTCCAGTGAAGGCCCCAGGGGGTGTCTCTGAATTCCAGAAATCAAAGACATTGTTGAAGACAAACCGAGCCCCAATAAAGAAAAAACTGTAACAGAAAAGCTTGCAGTGAGAACACTTACACAGCTTGTGCAAGAAGCAACAATAAAGCTGAGATGAGTATCTCTACTTGAGGACCCAATAGGTGACTCAAATTATGAAACAATGAGACATTTCTGAGAAGCAGGGAGGGTGACCGAACTGGATGTCAAAGTAGCTCAAAGCCAATAAAACCCATCGACATGGAGCAAGGTCTATAAATCATCTCTGGGCTGAGTAGATGGTGATAAAGCATGGCAGCGTTAGCAAGAATCAGGGGATAAACTATCAGCAGCACACAGAACAGTCAAGAAGGTGGTGGCGTTGAACAGACCGAGTGTTAGAACTGACAGGGAGGGTCCTCTTAGCAAAGCACAGATCCTTTACTTTAGGAGGAAACTAAAGCCCAATGCTGTTAACTCAGTGATTCTCAACAGGGGTGATTTTGTAGCTCTGGGGGACGTCTGGTAATATATGGGGACACCTTTGGTTGTTGCAACTGATGGGGTGCTACTACATCTAGTGGACAGAGACCAGGGAGGCTGCTAAAAATCTTAACATGCATAGGATGCCTACCACACCAAAATTATCTGTCCCCAAGTGTCAATAGTGCTCAGGTTAAGAAGTTGTGAGTTAAGGAATTTGTTCAAGGCCAAAGAATGAGAGTCACATGGTAGACGAGATGAGAACTGTCCCAAAGCGTACGCTAAGGTGATGGATATGTTTTATAATCACACTGGCCAATTGGATAGCAACAGCCATACACAGCTATTAAACACTTGAAATACTGTAGTGCCTCTGGAATGAAGTTTAATTTTAAATATAACTTTAGTAATTTAAATAGCCACAACTGGCCAGGGGATACCCTTTTGGACAGGTCATATTCCCTAACTTCTAGTTTCAAAGCCTGCTCCTTTCCACTCTTCTGACATCACCCACAGGCCTGATGTATCATTAAGATTTGCTTGGGAAAAAAGTGTAACGACTAATAAACACTTTCAGTTAAACACCTTATTGAGGACAATGGGAAATAAAGCGAAATGTCAGATCATGGTTATACATATTTATAATATGTCTGCTAGAAGCAAGAAAGGTCAAACTTTACCAACTTCCACTTGGAGGGAACGACGGTAAGACCGATATAAACCAACCCCCTTGAGATCTGAGCCTTGAGTGGATATGATATCTCAGCAACCTATCGGTCCCTTTTATTTCTCAGAAGCAGATAAGGCGGCACTAGCATCTCTCACATCTACCTTTCTCTTCACAAAAGCGACTGTCTGATCTGTTAGTTTTGAAGGCGACCACGCGCAGGGCGTGCCAAGTGCCAAGCGCGGTGTTAAAGCATTACACATAAAGTATGCCGCTTCCTTCTCATGGCAGCCCTTTGGGGGCACCAGGAGGTTAAAGGACTTGGCCCAAGTCACACTGTCAGTGGAGAGCAAAGCTGGGTGGGACTCCCAGACGCGATTCCACGCCCCTACTCTTCAGCACCCGCTAACGGGCCTGAAACCTGGGAAAGCAACGCCGGCGGGACCGGCGTGAGGAAAGCACCTCCACTCCCGGGCACGGGACCCTGCCCGGTCAGGGCGGTGTCCCGGCCCCGCTCCCCACGCCCAGCACTAGGTGCTTACTTCTCGATCTCCAGCGCTGCCACCTTCCGCTTTTCGTAGAGCTTGTCATTGAGGGCGCGCACAATGTTGGGCGTGAGTGGAGCGAAGTCCTTCTCCGGGTTCATGGTGGCAACTGGGGGCGAGCCCAGAGCCCGCGACTCCTCAGCCCGCGGCTGCCCGGGTCGCGCCGGGGCCAGGGGAGTGTGCGGCTCCGCGCTGCCTCCGGCGTCGGCTCATGGACCACGCAGTCCCAGGCCTATCTGCTTCTCTCGGCCGCGGGGCGCCGCCTCAGAACCTGGGCCAGGGGCCCGTGTCTGCACTCCTGACAGCTGCTGCCTAACGGCTCAAGCGGTCACTCCCGTCCGGCACCTGCGGCTCGCAAGGAGCAGCGGCCATGACACTCGGTCACGTGACTCCGCAGCCGCTTCCGCCTTCCGCTGCGGGGACCCGCCCCCTCGGCCACGCCCCCGCACGCAGGCCGCGGAGGGTGGAACAGACCCCCGCAAAGCTCGGTCTCCCTTCACGCTGCCCCTTCAGCTCGGCGGCTTGAGTGGGCTTCCTGGCTCACGTGACCTGGATCAACTGCCCGCCAGTGGCCGGCGTGGCGCCTGGTGTGCTTCTGTACTGCTGGCGAGAAGGCAGCGGCGTTTGGGGCCAGACTCACATATAATTTATTCAACACTGACTCCGCTAGTTCATTCACTACTTAGTCACCCTTTTTGCATATGCCGGTGTTTCCCAAATTGGAGTAACACCATCACGATCTTCGTCCTATCGTAGTCACTTGTACTATGATTTCGATTTTCCTCAAATCAACTCACTTAAAAAAAGCTTAAATTCCTACTTAGCCTTGCTTATACCCTAAAATCAGTTTTAAATACTAACATTTTTTTCTAAGACACATTAAAATAAATTCTCAACTAAAAGCAGTACTACTGATCTATGCCAAAAGAACAAGCGACTGTCACCCCACATTTGGGCCTCAGGATGTGTTCACCAAGCCCTGACAGTCCAGGAGGACTGGGCTACTGACAGCCGAAGCCCCAAACCTGCTGAGCACAGGTCTCCAGCTGACCCTGTAATAAAGAGGAGGTTCCAGGTTCCCACTCAGTTCATGCTTCCTTGGGTGGGACAGGGATACGTTTAGTGGTCTGGGCTGACAGAACCCCAGAATGTGGGGAAAATGCAAAATCCATGAGGATAGAGGTGGTGGAGGGGAGCAGAGTGCCAAGAAGCAAGGGTGTTTCTCAGGTCTCTCTGCTCTATGTGCTTCCTCCAGTCTTTCCCCTCTTTCTCCTTTGTCCTTCTCTTCTTCAGCTTTCCCTCCCCGCTCAGCTCTAACTCTCTATGGATATCACACTGTTGTTACAAAGCAGTAACAACACTGTAAAACAGCTCCCCCAAATGCTTTTAGAGCGGGACCAAAGTTGAAGGTATGCGGTAAAAATCTTTATAAAAGTCTGTATGGACGCAGCGTGGCTAGAGCAGCAGTCACAGAGAGCTGCATCAGAGTCCTTATTGTCAGCTTCCACAGTGGACAAGGACTTAGGACCAAGGATATCCCACAGTGGAGCCAGTGGATATTAAGTGTGAATATAACACGTGGTGGTGCTTTAGTGGGTGTAAAGCCTACAACCATCTTGAAAATGGAATATTGGCCCTCCCTGGTGGTGCAATGGGCAAGGACACAGCACTGCAAGCTGGCCACAGCCGCTTCAGTGCGAGTTTGATCCTCCGCCTGGGAGGTGACCCACATGGCGCGGCAGACCTCTCCTGACCCGCCCGCTGCTCCCCTCAGCAGTGTACTTCGTCGATCTGCCTGTTCTGCTTCCCACTCTGGCTCTGGTGAGTCCTCTCACCGCCCCTGCACCTTTGGCCAGTACCCCAGTTCTGTATGCATAAATAAATAATAAATCTTAAAAAAAAAAGAAAATGGAATATTATCCTCAACCCATACATCAGAATCTACGGGGCACAACAAACCAGGGGCTATGGCTGGGCTTCAACTTTGGTGCATGGCTTTGGGACATGATCCCCTCCCTCTGAGTGTGAACAGATTTGTAAATAAGACGGGCTGTCACTCTAACATTATATTGTATTATTATATTATATTATTGTATTATATTATATTGTACAGCAGAGAGGATTTTCAGATGTAAAAATCAGTTGACTTTGAAATACTAAGTAGGGAGATGATCCTGAGGCCTAAAATGCTATTAGAAGAGACTGGAAGCAGAACAAAGACTCTCCAACTGACCTTGAAGAGTAAAGAATCTCAACAGTGAATTGTCTACAATGGGCCACACAGTAAGGACCTGAGTGTGGCCTCTGGTTGCTGAGAGAGGTCTTCTGTCATCAGTTGCCAAACAAATAGGAACTTTGGTTAGATGATTGCAAGGGAATGAATTTTGTCAACACAATAAGGCAGCAATGAAGTGGCTCTTACCCTAGGTGAGTCTCTGGGTAAAGCTGTAGCTGGTGGGTACCTTGATTTCACGCTGTGGGATCCTCAACCAAGAACGGCCAGTTTAAGGCCATTCTGTACTCCTGACCCATGGAAACTGGGAAATAAGAAAGTTGTGTTGTTTTAAGCTTCTAAGTTTGTGCTAATTCATGATGTAGCCATAGTTTGGACTAACCTCAAACTTTAGTAAGTCATGAAGGAATCGTGTCTAGAAAAATCCTTTAAAAATGTGCTTTCTTTTTTACTAGTGAGGCGTTAGTTTCCTTCTCTTGACACCAAGTTGCAGGGACAAGGATATTTCCAAATGTCTTGGAAAGTCTATATCTAGGACTCTGATGATGGTGGATAAAGAGAATAAATCAAAGGAAATGAATGGAACCAATTTTTCAGTGTGCATTCATTTTCACTAGATCCACATCTAATTTAACATTTTGTGTTCACTGTTTGACTTTTTTTTTTTAAGATTTATTTATTCATACAGAACTGGGGTACAGGCCAGAGATGCGGAGGGTGAGAGGATTCACCAGGGTCAGAGTGGGGAGCAGAACAGGCAGAACGACAAAGTACACTGCTGAGGGGAGCAGCGGGCGGGTCAGGAGAGGTCTGCCGCGCCATGTTGATCTCCTCTGGGGCAGGCGGGGATCGAACTCATGTGGAATTGGCTTAAGCTTCTTAATGCAGTGCTTTAACCCGCTGCGCCACCAGGGAGGGCCCTGATTTGACTTTTTCTTGAAGGTAAACTGAATATCCCAAGGTTCATAGTGGAGTAGTTTTTATAATTGACACAGTAAGGAAATACATTTTTTTTCTTTTTCTTCCTGAAATCACGCTGAGGACTAGGTTGCTAAGAAACCAGTTTCTTCTTCAAGACCCAAACCTATGCTTTATCATGCTTTCAGTTAACAAGTTCCTGGAAAGAAGTGGCTTCTTTTCTCTGACAGTTTTGAAAATGCCAACTAAAGTTGCTCACGCACAGCTGGACTGAGAAGGGTGCTGAGAAGCAAGCCAAGGTCATTCCAGCCTCCTCTCTGTGCTCACAGCAACTCTGACCCTCTGGGACCAATTCTTCTAGGCCACTGGATATTGATAAGCCTGAGCACGCCTTCCCCAGCCCGTCACAGCTGTAACGGACTCATCTGCACCTGGTGGCATGTGGCACTACTGCCTAACTGGTGGACATGGCAGGGCTGGTGGCCCTGTAAGAAACTGTATCCCGGGCCCTCCCTGGTAATGCTACGGGTTAAACTGAAGCACTATGAAGCTGCTGCCGCACAAATTTGATCCCTGGCAGGGAGCTGACCCATGTGGCGTGGCAGACTTCTCCTGACCTGCCTGCTGCTCTCCTCAGCAGTGCGTATCAGCAATATGCCTGTTCTGCTTCTCAGTCTGTCTCTGGTAAATACTCTTACTCCCCTGCACCTTTAGCCTGTACCCCAATTCTTGCATGCATGCATAAATAAATCTTAAAAAAAAAAACAAAAAAAAGAAACTGTACTCAATCATGAACCATGCAAAGAGTTTCTGCAATACCAGCGCAGCTTTGCTGATGTTCAAGGCAGACATGCTGAGGCTATAAAGGGTTTAAGAGGCTTCAGAAATCCCACATTTGATCTCTTACCCTCTGGCAGGTCCTCATGTTGTCTACTCCCGCCCGAGGGGTGTCTTCCCCAAAGAGCTGAGCTGACTCGGGGTACTAGTTCACCAGGCCTTCTGTGCTATATTGGAGGGGCCTGTCCCCATCACGTTCTGTGCCTGGTTCTGTCACTGTACGTCTGCTATTTCCTGAATTCCCTACCTCCGGCCCTCGCAGTGAGGTGACTTCCGGTGCTTTGCTGCAACTGGATTCTTCCAAGGGTGACTTCAGTAGCTGGTGCCACAGAGCTCACCGGCATAAAGCCTCTGCCCCCATCCTTTGTGGAGTGACTTTGCCATTCCACATTTGTTGGTACACAACAGTTTTGTTAATGTCCTTTGGAGGCCAAGGGAGTATGAGAACAGCTCAGAGGGCAGAAGCGTGCCCCCAGATCAAGGCGTCCTGGAAGGGGGTTTGTGCTGCCAGTGGGCTAAGCTGGGCACCTGTTCCAGTGAGAAGGGACTACGCACTTCCTCCAGGCTGTAGAATCCAGGCTTGAGAAGAGCTGGAGCAGGGCTGAAGTGGGAGTGGTGGGGAGGGATGGCCCCAGAAGGCACAGTTTTGCCAGCGGTAACACTGCAAAGTGGCTCTGGAAGCTTGAGGGCTCCCAGGCGTGTGTTCAGACCGTGGGCATCTCACCTCGCTCTCCATTGTGAATCATATAACCACTTATCACATGAGCTTTTAACCCCCAGAAAGATGCCCCCTGTGAATAATACAATGGGGGGATACTCACGGTGGTCACAGGAGAGGCATTTTTTTTTTTTTTGTCGCAAGCCAGGCGCTAAGTAGGAGGCACGGTGGTGGCCCCTATGGCTCTAAGGCACAGCGTTAGGGCTGTGACTCGGCAGAGGCCCAGGTTATGCTGGGGACCCCAAAGCCGTGCTCTCAGCTGAGATGTGCAGGTTGTTTTGCAGGGTCAGTGGTGCCTGAGATCCTGCATTCCTAACAAGGTCTCAGGCAAGTCTCTAGGCTGTGGGATCATTGGGTGTAGCTCTCGCACCCCAGGAACTGGGTAGAAATGGGAATTGTTGAACTCGCCCCAACAAGGAAATCAGGCTCTCTGAGGGTGTGCCCTGGCAGGCCGTGGGGCATGAAGGCCGATTAGGTTGTTTTACACAAACTGGGCTAGTCACACCGCCTCCTCCAGCTGTTGCTGCTGGCATTCTTTGCTCAGCTGAGCATGGGGAAAACCTGTTATCTAGATCTTGGTCTCTGTAGCAGAGTCCTCAGCATTGAAGAAAACAAGTTGTTAAGTTTAGAAAAGGTTAATCTGTTACTAGCAATGGGATAAAGATAGTGGGGAGAGCCAAAGTCCCCAGAGAATCTCTGGAAACACCTCTGATAGCTGTCAGGCCTTGATAACACACACGTGGGTGGGCCGAACACCTGTAATTTCTGACTCACTAGGCCAGGGGCAGGCTCCAGAATTTTCATGCTTAATAAATTCCCAGGAGCTGCTGGTGCTGCCGGTGGACCACCATTTCTGAGAGCTACTTCTCTGGAGTGTTCATCCCAAGTGGCTGTTTGAAGCATGCAGGAGGCATGGTGCCCGTGCCTGCAGGGAGGCCGCAGGGCTGAGAAGCCAGGAGGAGGTGCGGCAGGGGTCCCACCAGCACAGGGGGTGCTTGTGGGCAGAAGCAAGTCCACTTCAGGGCCGGTCTTTAACCATTTTTATTGCAATGGGTGGTACCCACAGGCGAGTACATACTTTGGGGCCCAGGGGGGTTCGGCTGAGGCATTCTGGCCCCTCTTGCTGCCATGGTGAACCTGTTTGTCTATTCGTCACTTAGAAAACAGTGACTTATTTGACTTTTATGTGATAGTAGAAGACAACAGCACATGAAAATAGAGTCAAGTCTCAGAGCCCTTTTAGCCAGGATGGATCAAAAAACAAAATGAGCCGCAGCTGTGGGGCCACAGGTCGCGCTCTGGGTGACAGAGGCCAAAGGTGTGTGTGTGTGTGGGGTCACACCTGCATCTAGGGAAACTGGGATTACCTAGAATCCAAGCTTTGGGGACGTGTTCTGCAACTACATTCAGAGGCTTGTGTAATTACCAGGTTCAAAGCAGAATACATGTCTTGTATGTATTTGGAATAAAATGGAAGTTTAGAATTCTGAGTCATTCCTCATATGTGACCAGGCTAGATAAACACACAGCTGTCCAGGCTGAGGGGATGGCTCTTTGTTGAGGCCACTGACTGCCGGCCCACTAAGGGGTGATGCCCTTCAGATAATAGACCCACTGGACCCCAGTTTCACTGTTCTCCATGGGGGGACAAGCCACGATCAGCTTGGTGGTGATGGGTACTTTGCTGCCTGAGGGGTTTCCCTCAAAGTACACGGTGATGTTGTTGATCTTCTTGGCCCGCACGGAATCGGTGGCACGGATGGTGAAGGCTGGGCTCTCCACAAAGATGGAGAAGTTGACTGTCTGATAGAAAACATTCTTGAAAGGGATGATGATGCTGTAACCGGCTCGAATCAGGAAGGGCCCTTGGGGCTTGGGGGGCAGGGCCATCCCAAAGAGGGGGATGATATACTCCCCACCTATGTATGACGACAGGATCAGCAGGCCCTTGGTCTCACCCAGGCGGCTGGGCTCGAAGTAGACCTCCACACTGACCTCGGTGCCCCCCTGGACCCCAGGGGCTGCGGTAATGACCTTCTCGGTGTGGAAGTCCGGACAGTCAGTCTGAAAGGGAACAGATGTGCGCAGCTCAGACCGGACACTGGTGAGTCTGCAGCTCAGCTCAGGCCCAGCCCCAACCTCTGCGCCCTGAACATCAGGCCCCGGCCTAGAGTGAGGCAGGCAGGTCACACAAAAGCTGTATGCCATCGAGAGCAGCTGTCACTCAGGCGTATGCCCATTTTACTACAAAGAGACCTAGCTGCCTCGCCCAATGACACCCAGCTGGACTGTGTTGGAGGCTGACCTTGGTACTGTCCCCTTCCCTTCTTTTCCTCCATGCACACAGAAGGCAGAACATTCTGGCTTCTCATGTAGGGGCGGGACTAGTTCAGGACCATTATTTCGGGGTAGAAGTGAACGGTGTCGCTTCCCATCCAGAGCACTTAATCGCCAGTGCCGGCCCCTTTGGGGTCTTTCCACCGCTCTGGGACTATGATCAGGAACACCTGAGATGGTGGTTGCTCTTCAGCCTGCAACCCTGAGTGACTGTGGTATGTGGACCCTCTCTGGATACATAGCACAAACGAAAAGGCAAACCTTTATGGGGCCAAATCACCAATAGGGGACTGTTTGTTACTACAGCATAATTTGATAAAAATGAGCAAGAGTCTGCCTCTTGACTACGGTCATGGGGCCCCAGATGTTAGCTGGGCACATGGCCTCTGGTGCAAACAAAGACTACTCTGTCTAGCTTTCCTGTGGCAAGGTGTGTCCTGGGAAGTCGTTCTCAACGGGAGGGGGGTGGAAGAAGTGATGCAGGCAGCTTCCTCATTGCTCCTCCTTGTCAGTGATATCAGTGACTGGAACGTGGAAATTACAGAAGTTATCTTGTTCCACGTGAACCCAGGCAACTCTCCAGAGGGAAGGGCCTCAGCACAAGGAATGTGGGTGCCTTACTTCACGGAGCCTCTATTGAGGCCCAAGCCACTTACACTCACTGTTACATGAGAATACATTTCTGCTTTGCTGCTGTTCAGGCTTTCTGTGTTATCAGCTAAACTTATATTCCAACAGACAGGGAGACACAGATGGCGCAGGTGCCATGCCAGGCCCTAGGAACAGGCTTTATATACATGTTTACAAGTCCTCACATCAGTCTCGTGAGGCTGGGGCACTGTGGCCATCTACAGATGCCTAGAGAGCAGCAGTAAGTTATTCACACACAGAGCAAAGAGTGCAGCCAGGATTCAAATCCGGGCCTGTTGGCTGCCACAGCCATGCCCCTCACTACCGTCCAGACCACAGACAGGGTCTCTAAGGCAGGACTACAAGGGCCTTCCATTACTTTCGGCCCAGACTTCTGGCGAGGCAAGGGCAGAGGGTGGGGCGGGCGGCTCACCCTGCAGTAGTAATCTGTCTTCTGCCGGGTATAGTTGATGAACTTGGCGAACAGGCTCTGGCTGCTGCCGAGAGCGGCCTGGAAATAGATGGGCTTTTCAGGCAGCGGAGGTAGGGCCTTCAGATTGAGCTCGTACTGGTAGTAACCCAAGTCAGTGTTGTGCAGAGTTAGTCTCCCAAACGTTTCTCCAACTTTCAGGGGCTGGAACTCAAAGGAGAATGTGCCCTGGAAGAGAAGAGGCTGAGAATGCCACCCTGCCCATTCCACCCAGACCTAGAGCAAAGGTGGGGGTTGGGGTGGAGCGGGGCCCTGCAGGGAAATCCTCGCAGCATACTGAGCCTCTGTTCAAACCAGGCCACTGTCCCTTCCTGTCCGCCTCCACCCCCAGCCTCCCTAGTCCAGGTATTTCTGTATCTGGAATCTTTCTGAATCTGAAAATAGGTAGTGCAGGGGTGCAGAGGCATGAGAGCAGTCATAGGAGGGGGGCACTCAGGCCCTTCATTGCTCACAGCCAATCACAGAACAGCTTCCTGGGTTCTACATGCATCAGGGAGAGGCTTTCTTCTCCTTCGGTTGTTGGGATAGGAAACAAAACAAAGACCAAAGAGTCTTGCTTGTCACAGCAGAATAAGGGAGACATACTAACTGTTGGCACTAAGATGCTGGTTACATAAATTATAGTTTACCTACTTCAGTGGGGTATTATTTAGCTGTTAAAAAGGAAGGGTAGAGTTATAAGCATTGGTCTTGATGACAGAGTAAATGGATGAAAGGAGGTTCTAGAAATTTATGTGGAGTGAGAGCTCCTTTTTGTGGAGAATAGGTGTATATAGAAAAGAGATGGCAAGGATAAATATATATCAAATTGTTACCAGTACTTATTTTAGGGTGGGGAAAATGTGATAGTGAGGACTTTGATTTTCTGTTTCACATATTTTTGTAGAGCTAAAATTTAGTTTTTATCATGAATAGTTATTCTTTCAAAAATAACTATTTTACTGAAAAACAGTCTAAGAAGGGATATCATAAAATTCACTGTATATGTTTAACAGAAATATAAACATTTAGATGATCTTACTACAATTTAAAATATTAGATGAAAATAAAACCGAAGTATGAACAAATATAACTTATATTTAAAGACTCAGAATAAAGAAAACCCACACTGCCTCACACTGCCTCTAACCATTAAATCTAATGACGACTCAAAAAGTTTCCCTTGATGAAATTCCAGGATCATAATACTCTACTTTTAAGTTCTACCAGACAATCTCGAATGCCATAAACTTCCCAAGACAAGAATGAGAGGAAGCCCACTCATTAGCATAATTTTGCTAGCAAATTTCAATAAGGGTACCAGGAGAAGGGAAAAATTGAATGTTAGTCCCCCTCCTGAACATAGATGAGGTGCAAAACACCTAATAAGGTGTCTTCCAGCTGAATCCAGTGATATACTATGAAGAGGATGTTACATGAGGAAGTTGGTTTCATTCCGTGAATGAGAAACTGGTGTCACTTTGGGAAAATCAGCTATTTGATACACTGACAAATTCAAAGAGCATATGAATGTCTCAATTGATGCACTAAAAACATTTCATAAAAAATATCCTTTCATGGTGTTTTGAAAAAACTTTAGGCAGACTAGGAACAGGAGGATACACCCTTAATCCCATAAGGTGGTGGTGGTGGTGGGGTAAGTGTATAAGAAACCTAAAACTAACATCACATTAAACGGGCAAACTTCAAAAGTCTTCTCTTCCATCTGAATAAGGCAAATAAATCTAAAAGTGACAAGGGCTCATGACAGTGAAGTTCCCTCTGTGTCCCTGCCTATTTCTTCTGAGGACTTGGCTGACCCCTGGTCCTGGCCTCCCCACCCCCCGCCAGGGCTGGCCCCACCTCTGGGCTGTAGACCCTGCATCTGGGGGCCCGGAGGGAAGAGCCTCTATTAGCCATCAGGGAGCCCCTCAGGGCCAGGGCCACACCTCGGAGTTGCCAGGCACTGCAAACAGGGAGGGCAGGCTGATGTCGGGTATCCTGCATTCCACCGAGAAGGTCACCGAGTAGGGCAGGGGGTTCTCCACCTTGACGGAGGCGGATGTGCTCTGCCGGACCAGGCTCACCATGTCGATGCTTTTCATGATGCCTGAAGGGATGACCCTGAAACTCACCATGTAGTGTAAGAACTCGTTGGTTACCTCATTTCTGAAGATCACCTGTGTTCATGGGGTGGGAGGAGACAAGGCAGAGGAGAGGGGCTAGAGGGGCATCTTCTGCACCTCCGAGAACTCCGCCCCTCTGCCTGGGGACGTGAAGTGCGGGGCAGCAGGCCGGTGGATGCACCTCTCCAACCACCCACCCCACCAGCCTAAGGAAGAGGCTCCTCTGCTCTGGTCCCGCTGGCAGAGTGCTACATAGTGCTGAAGGTAACAGTGTCACCTGTGGGGCAAAACGTTCACGTTGTAGTGATGTCACTCCTAATCTTGATGCTGCTGGCAAAGTTAGCAGTAGTAGTGGTGAGGGAGAGGGATGGTGACGAGGATGGCACACATCTTGTAGACAGTCTTTTTTTTTTTTAAAAAAGATTTTATTTATTTATGCATACAGAAATGGGGGACAGGCCAGAGGTGTGGGGGCAGCAAGAGGATTCACCAGAGACAGCGTGGGAAGCAGAACAGACGGACTGACGAAGTCCACTGTTGAAGGGAGCAGCGGGCGAGACAGGAGAGGTCTGCGTGCCATGGGGTCACCTCCAGGGCCAACCTGCTGTTCCACCAGGGAGGGCCCTAGACAGTCTCATTCCTCCCTTCACCAGTTTCTCTTTTAAGATGAGGAGACTGAGGTTCAGCAGAACCAGGATTTGAGCCCAGACTGCACTGACTGCAGAGCTAACGCGGCTAGCTACAAGGAGCTGCCCTGCCCTGGAGGTGCTCGGCCACCGCTCAGTGCTCCCAGAGGGTGAAGCTGCTGGACGGTGTCTCCTGAGCTGGTCACGCACAGCGACTCCTGAGGGTCTACTCCAGTGTCCTGTCCTTTGTGACACTTTGGGTTATTTATCTATCAGGTGACTGTTCTTTACAGTTACAAATCTTTCTACTTTCAACCTCTTCCTGTCTTTAAATTTAGGTGCTTCTGATACTTTGTCTTTCTGAAGCCTTTTCTGATTGGAGTGGCACTGGTTTGTAACATGAGACAGGGCGACATCTAGATGGACCACGTTATGTCACCAACAAATCTCTGCTTCCATCATCCTCCACACAACCAACTCCTTTCCCCTGACTCATCTGCCTTCCTCCCCCTCCCCTTCTGGTAAGGGCCGTCTTGTTCTTACACCTAGAGCTTGTTTTCGTCTTGTTTTGCTTGTTCTTCTACACATGGGTGAAATCAGATGGTGTTTCTCTATCTTCACCTGACATTTCCTTTAGTATCCTGGTAGGTCCATCCATGCTGCTGAAAATGGCAAGGTTTCCTTTTCAAACAGCTGAGCAGTCAGCGCTCTGTCGTGTACGCGTCCTGATCTCTGTCCAGTCATCTGCCAGTGGACACTCAGGTGCCTCCAATTCCGGGCTACTGGGAAAAGTGCTGCGGTGAATGTGGGAGTGACACCCTCTGTCTAGTCAATGGAATGGTTTAGTCTTTTACTTTTAGTAACGTGCTGGGGCAAGTCTGCCCTCTTGCGAGTTGTTCCCCATGCGTCTCCTCATAGTTTCCTTCTTTGCTTGCTACTTTTCTACCTTCTTTTGGATCGATATGTAATCTCTTGGACTATGTTCTCGTTCTTCTTTTGACGTCTTGGCTATGTTTTAAAGTGATAGATTCTTAGTGGTTTGCTCTAGAGCTGACAATTTAACTAAAAAAAAGATTTATGTATTTATGCATATAGAACTGGGGTGCAGGCCAGAGGTGCAGGATTCACCAGAGACAGAGTGGGGAGTAGAGCAGGCAGATTGAGGAAGTACACTGCGGAGAGGAGCAGCAGGCGGGTCGGGAGAGGTCTGTCACGCCCTGTGGTCACCTCCGGGGCGGGGACTGAACTTGTGCTGTGGCTGCGGCTCTCTTGCAGTGCTGTGTCCTAACCCGTTGCACAGCCAGGGAGGGCCGACAATTTAAATTTTTAACATGACATAATTTGAGTCAAAATTTTATCATTTCCTACCTGATGACTGGACCAGTCACTGGACCACCTAGGTTCGTGCAGGGAGACTGGATGACCTCACTCTAGGGCAAAATCGCCTGATGAAGCGTTTCTCAGAGCAGGTCCCTGCCGTTAAGTGATGGATGCACAACTGTCATCTCTCCCTCAGGGTCCTCTACATTCTTCAGCCTTTCCCTACAGTTTTCTAGTCCTAGTATTCTAGTTTTCACTTGCATATAGCTTATTGTTTATTTTTCCACCGCAGGACATAGCTTCTTGTCCTATTTCATGGTTTGATTATCTTCCTTTATTCCTTTGAGGGTATTTATGATAATCAATAGATGTTTGCTTTAATAACTTTTCCCTTGGGAGTTTCTTATTTGTTGAGCTGGTATTTTTATCTTATAGTGGCTCTGTTTTTCCTTCAGATGTTTCTTGGTTCCTTGACTTGAGTCACTGTTGGTGTATCTGAGACGGGCAGTCTGCAGGACTGCAGGGAGGGCGCTGCCTGCCGCTTGCCAGTATGTTTTCGGGAGGGGTATTTCGACATATATATTTTTTTCACTTAAAAATCTCCCCCTAGATGACTGATTCCACCTCCATCATAGCTTTGAATACCATCTACAAATGGATACCTTTCCAAACGCCACCTTCATCCCGGACCTCACCCCATGAACTACAGATCCACAGATGCCCCACTTCTCCAGAGCACTTATCTCAAATCACAGCTGCACATCTGTAATGTGATATCTGATGAATGACCACTTCCTGTCATAGGACTGTGTATTCCTTGAGATCAGAGCCTGTTTTTAGTCACTGCTGTGTTACTAGCACTTAGTACATGTCATCTACACTCAACAGACACTTGGTGAGCAAATGAGAATTACAAGAAATAGTTCAAATGTGCAAGACCCTGAGGTGTCTAGGAGCAGATGGTTGGAACTGAGCCTCAGTGCTGCCAATACTGGCTGTGCATGTTGCAGACTCAGCACAATGCTGGACACCACAAGGCCTCAGAACATGGGATCTTCTCTGATCAGTGTTTGCTGGTCTGGAGTTGCCTACTGCTTAAGGATTTTCTTGATTCTGATGCCTCAAAAATGTGGTATGGTCCTACACGATGGCTGGCTGGCCCTGAAATCTGGGCTCATCTGAAAGGCTGGACCCTCCAAGTGCCCTAACTAGGTGACTCTGAGCGTCAGCAGGACAGGAATAGGATAAGCTGCCTCGGGAGAAGAAGTTCACTCCTTAACACCGGGATGGTCAACTCAGGGTCAAACCTCAAGGGCCCCTTGGCAAACCCTTGACATGTGGATACCTTTGCGGTGTATATTCCCTCCTTATACGAGAAGAAGTTCAGCTTGTAGTCTTTCTTGGAGCCAGAAAGCACATCTATGTAGTCAAGGCCCTTTATGGTCACACTGAGATCTGGCTTCTCTGGTTTCACCATTTCCACAATGACCCGGAACCTGGGGCAGCACAGAAGCATAGAACAGGGGAGAGAGGGAATGAGACCATCTGCTCAAAGGAAAGAGGGGAAGGTGCTGTCTCTGCTCTTGAGAAAGCACATTGGTCCAGTGTTTGCCTGACACTAATCACACAGTAACCACCATCCACTCACCACCTGCATGTGCCAGTACTAAGTCAGTGCCGTCAAGCGCTTACAGGCATTTAGTCCCCACGATACCTGTGGGAGGTACAGATCATAAGCATCTCATTGTACTAATGAGGAGACAGAGGCCAAGAACATACTTCTGTAACATGACTAGGTATTGCAATGGAATACTATTCAGCAATCAAAAAAGATAAACTCATGCCATTTGAAACAACATGGATGGAGCTTGGAGGGATTATGCTAAGCAAAATGAGTCAGAAGGAAAAAGCCAAACATTAAATGATTTCACTTATAGGCAGAACATACAAAAACCGAAACCAAACAAAGGGCTAGGAAAAGAGAAAACTTGCAAACTGACCACAGACAGACTTGAAGGAAACAGCAAATGAAGGGGAGGGAGAGGGGTTAAGAGAGGGGAGAGAGGGGCATCAAGGGCTATGGTGATTGTTTATGGGTGCTACGGTGGTGGGAGAACCACAGGGACTAACTGAGGGGGCGTAAGAAAATCAATAAATCATATACAACTAGATGGTTACAGAACCAGGATTCACACTTAGGGCTGGGCCTTCTCATCCACACGTGTTAAGCAGCTGGCTCTCCATAAGTCACGCCTCTCCTCCCAGGCTTTGAGCCTCCATGAAGGAAGGCCAGGCTGGCTGGCCTTAAGCCCCAAGAGACACCTTCTCCAGCCAGGGGCTTAGTGATAAAACACTTAATAAGAGTACAATATATAGGATTTGGCACTACCCACAGCGTTGCATCCCTGGGGGAGGGTAAGATGTATCCCCCCATGGGTGAGAGACATCTGCTGTAACAACAAATGATTACTGAGCACTTATTTTGTGTCAGCCACTGATCTATGAGATTTCTAAGCCCGCCATTTATAGATAGCGCTGAACAGGAGAATGTCTCTGGGGCCTGAGACTTCTGTCAAGGTCTGGCTATGTCTGGGAACTTTGTCTCATTTTCCTGGACCAAGGAAAGGGCCAGGCAGGACAGTGGCAGTCTCCTTCCACCTCATCCCTACCCCTTGCTGTACTCCCTTACCGCTGGGGCTTGTTCAGCCAGTTGGTGATTGGCAGGAGCTCCGTGTATGGTGTCTTACATGGCACTTCGCGGTAGATATTGCTCACGGCTTTGGGAGATTCAGCAGTGCCATGCAGCATATACAGCCAGCCTGTGCCATCTGGGAGTGGGAAGAAGAGGGT